CATTGTGGGAAAATTCTACTACCAGTCCTTCATCACCTTACACGAAATAGGGTGAATACATCTCATATACCAAATCCACGGTCAAAGCAGGAAATTGCCATGCATACTGTGACTCCGAACAAGGTGCGTTAATCTAAGTCGGCCAATACGACAAGTTGAGAAAACAAGGCCAAATCATATGTATAAAAAGAAGACCAAAACTATATTAAAAACCATATAATTTTGGTCTCCATACAAGACTACCCTTTTTGGTAGAGCAATCATCAGCCTACTGTTCAGTGAGGATAAAGGAATTAAAAAACACGACATAATTCTTAATGATCGTATAAATAATAATAACGATATGGTATATTCACAATAATTAAAATGATTTGCTAGCTCATAAAAGATGGAATTTGGATTAGATAAGGTTGATGAAAATGAAAATGGGGGACAAGGCCAAAAGCCAATCGTCTTGAAATAAAAAAGATTCAGACATCCTAAGATCACCTTTTAACCATCGTAATAAGAAAAAATAGTATAAATGCAGCTATTTTGACATCTTATAGGTTGTTTATGTCTATTTTCATCAATCTCTATCCAAATTACCTTTCGAAAGACCCTCCTTCTGCACCTCATGTTGGCAAGCCTCGTAAAGAGCACGTGGGGTTGCAAACTCTTCTGAAAGACAACTAGCTAGATCACCAGTCACGCCACGCCACTGCCCTAGCTGAGCCAGCCAGACACGGCATGCCCAAGCCCGCCAGGAAAGGTTTGAGTCACCGCTTGGCGCCGCTAGGTCGGCGCTCGCTTCGCAGCCAGCTAATCCAGCAGAAACCGTGCCCGGATGGAAAGAGAAACCATGATCGTCACTAAGGCGGCCCGTTCTGACATTTAAATGTGATAATAAAAATTAATAAATATACATAACATACAACAGGAGTGGTGATATTATAATACAAATTAAACATTTTAAAACCGGTTTAAACTAAGAAAAAGGCGATGGATGACATTAAGCAGAAATCACCTAGCGTAAGTAGCTAGATCAAACTCAGAAGTGAAAATCAAGAATAACACGATTAATTCAGACTATTCGCAGTCAAAGTGGATCACGGCCGATTCCTGAGAATAATCAAATAGGTCTACAGTTCGTTACTCACTTGGAAGCTCCCAATATAATCAGAATATAAGCAGCTCTTCAGAAGACTAAAAAAAGCTCTAATCTCCTAGTACAGTACTTGATCTATACCAAAGCTCATAGTGTTCCTGGCGAGATCCCATGGAAAAAAAGGGCATTTCACCAGAGAAACAGATATCCTTTGCTAAATTAGAGGTTTATTAAATATTATCATAATTTAGTCTATATTTATTTTCTTATTTAACAAATGATGGAAGTCATTTAAAATGAAAATATATCTGTCAGGCAGTCTATGATAAGATGAGATTAGTTTTGCCTTATCCTTAAATGGTCGGCTCGGCGAAGAGAGTATCGGCACGGAAAAAAGTAGAATTGAAAAAATAGAGCTAAATGTGAAGAATAGGAACTTCGGTCAGTTACATAGGTTAGAATTAGAATTAGAAAGTGAGTCCAAATAAAAGTAATAGATCATACGGGAAAAATATGGCTAAGATGGAAGGTTGAAACGAGAAAACGAATATAATGTATGCAAAGAGTAGCCGAGTTTCGATGAAGCTCCTAAAATAACATTTTCGTGATGTCATGTATTTGATTTAAGTGCCTAATTAAGTAATTGGTCGATCGACCAGAAGACGTCTGATTCCTGTTATACTGCAGTCATTTCATTATACAGTGGATTTTTAGCTGACAATCTACAAGCTCCTCCTCTGTTTAGAGTAGAATCATGATTATCCTTAGTCCTTGATATGGTAGGAATTTCGGAGCTGGGATTCGTTATTGAAAACCTTCA